GGTTCACAAATGTGGGTCTTGGTTGTATCTCATATATTTATGTAGGGGTTATACATATGACAGATAATGTCTCCATTTTATTAATCTAAAAAAATATGTGAGAAAGATGTAAAACTTTTATTTAATAGTAAAAAATAGGAAAAAGTTGATAACTAATAAATTAAGAGAAAACTAGGTGATAAATAAATAAATAAGCTGACATTTTATTATTTAAGCTTTAATTAAAATTAGGCATTCAAAGGAACATTAATTATTTAATTAGTTAGAGAGTACTATGTGGTAAAAATAGGTGAAACTTTATTTAAAGTAACTTGACAAAGATGAGACAACAATTAATGAGCAAGGACAGAGAATTAACACCAAATGCTATGAAAATTATAAAGGTCGAACGCAAACTAATGTACCCCAAAATATATAAACCATAATTGTAGAAGTGACTTGAAAGCATTAAAAAAACTTAAGATTTAAACCAATCCGTAAGAGAATTCAAAGAGGCTACAAATGCTTGTTTCTTTATAGGATGATATCACGATATTATTAATTGCGCTCCTCCACAATAGAAACATTTTTTATTTGAGGTCGCTCTTATAAAATAACTAGTTTTTTGACACGTGTGTTGCACGTGATTACCAATTCCAAAAATATATGTTATAGTAAATAGTACTGCTTATTTAAGTGAATATTTTAATAATAAGCTTAGCAAAAAATCATATTGCAGATTCTTTTGTGAATGTTCAATGTGGATCGTCATATATATCTCCTATTCACGCAAACATATGACGATTGTCAATGAAAAAATTTGTTAGTTAAATACAACAATGTATATATTTATTTCAATTTTATGAGGTTCAATCATGTAATTAGTCTTATCTTACTAATTTTATCTTATAAACATTATTTGTTTTGTATTTTTCTTGTCATCTAACCAGATGTGCTTTGCATGTCTATTCCACATTAAATTGTTTAGATGTCATTTGAACATGTGAAGAGAACAACTACATTTAATATATTCACATATTTTCACATAAGTTGTGAGTTTTTTTTAAAAAAAAGAACTCGGAACATTTTAAAATATATATATTTTGAATTTAGAAGATCTTGTTAACTTGATAATACATTTGTGAGATACATCAGACTTTAATTTAAATACAAATACCTATCCAAATATAAATATATATTTGCATTAATGAAAATATTTATATCATAAAATTATCTATTAAATAAATAATAAAAATTAAACTAATACAAACTTCAACTGGCGTTATTACAAATCATATGAATTTTTTTTCGTCCAAAATACTGAAATATTAAGAAATAGTAAATAAGTAACATTGATAAATAAAGTCATTCTTTTGTCTTGAGCATCAAAAACAAATTGTGACAATTCTCTAAATTTTGAAAAAAGATATTCAAAAGCGTATCTCTACATCGCAAGAGAAATTGTTAACAAAAACAAATGAATTAAGACTACATAATGTTAACTTTGTATATTGGAACATTACATACTAATGTATATATTAAGCAAAAGAATAATTATTATATTATCAAAATTATTTTCCTCAAGTACTCGAGGTTATGGAATATACCCTCTTAGGATAGAACGACTTATTTCATCAAAATAGTGGTACCTTATATTCCGCTAAACTCCGAACTCACTCAACGACAATAAATCACACAAAAAAAATTAAAATGCAAGAAGAAGAAGAGTAGAAGATTAAAAAAAATTATGGTGTAAAATTGAGAGGAGACCCCTCTATTTATAGTCAATAAAGGGTAGTATGAACAAATGTTTTTGTGTCTTATCTGAAAAGCCATGACTTTTCCGAGAAGTCACAACCCTTTGAAAAAGTCACAACTTATTGGAAAAGTCACAACTCATTGGAAAAGTCACAACTCATAGAAAAATTATGACCCTTTGAAAAAGTCACAACTCATCGAAAAATCACAACCCTTTGAAAAAAGTCACAACTCATCGAAAAAATCACAACCTAAATTAAGAATATTATAGTAATTTAATATTCAAGTTAGGAGTTCATGATTTTAAGGTAATATAGATATAGATATAGATATATATAGATAATAGTATTTGAAGGATAAAAGATTTGATACACAACGTTAGAATCGAAACTCACAAGTGGTCTATATATGCATACATCTAGAATGCGCAATAACTTATAAGAATCTACACTTAAAGCTGTCCAAGTACGGTTTACATGTATACTTGTGAACATACATGTAAATCGTTTCCGAGAAGTCACAACCCTTTGAAAAAGACACAACTTATTGGAAAAGTCACAATTGGAAAAGTCACAACTCAGAGAAAAATTACGACCCTTTGAAAAAGTCACAACTCATCAAAAAATCACAGCCGTTTGAAAAAAGTCACAACATATCGAAAAAGTCACAACTCATCGGAAAAGTCACAACCTAAATTAGGAATATTATAGTAATTTATTATTCAAGTTAGGAGTTCATGTTTTTAAGGTAATATAGATATAGATATAGATATATATAGATAATAGTATTTGAAGGATAAAAGATTTGATACACAACGTTAGAATTGAAACTCACAAGCGGTCTATATATGCATACATCTAGAATGCGCAATAACTTATAGGAATCTACACTTAAAGCTGTCCAAGTACGGTTTACATGTATACTTGTCAAATAATTAATAAAAGATAAAGTTGACACATACAAGAATCAAGGAGATCGACATATCCGGATACTTTTAACAAAACGACTAATGCGTTCGAGCTTTCCAACTATTTAGATTAACATAAAGGTAAGACAAAATTGCATCATTAGAAGACTAACTAGTTGGGCGAAGAAACACGATGGATGGTAGTCTAGAAAGGAGAATAACTCTAGAGATTTCTCGTTATCAATGACTATATAGAAAGGATGAGAGCTTAAGAGACTTACCAATTTTTTAGAGAGGAAGAGAGCTCGAGGTGGCTTTTCTCCTGTGATCCAAGAAAAAGGGAAGAGAGCTCAAGGGCTGTCCACAGTGATCAGTAATTTTTATAGAAGAGGAGAGATCGAGAGTGGTTTTATAGTGTAGTGGGTATTGTGTTGTGCTCTATTTTGGTGTTGTTCATACATGAATTTGGGCTAGTTAACATGAGGTTAATTTATGGGTTAAAGTTACAAACTTAATTCTTACTTTCAATTTCTGATCAATGCATTGATCGGAGTGGGTAATTAGTCTAATACTAGCAATTTAGGTTTTATGTCTGTAACTCCCTTGAAAGTAGAGGTTACGAGTCAGATCTATTTGCCCTAATTTTGCATTGAAAGAGAGAATAGAGTAAGATATTTAGTTGTTTAACTTGACATATAGATGATACCGAAAGGAGATTCTATGCAAGGACGCTATGAGATCGAAAGAAGATTAGTGTCATTGAAGATAACCTAGCCTATTCATGAATGTTCATCACTATAGTGCATCATATTACCCCTATGTGTCATTGATTTGATTTCCAATCCCCGCACCTCTAGATTACTTTTTATTTCTTGTAATTCCCGTAATTTTAGTTTAATTGTGACAATGGATAACCAAAACTTTTTATTAAATTGGTGGAATCATTCACCCACTTGTTTTTACTATTACAAATGAATGATTTTACAATCAATATTTCTTGACAAGAATTCTCTACTATATACCATTCCCTGTGGGACTCGATCCCGACTCTTCGTTTGATTTTTTATCGATAACGTCCGCTGATCCTTTTAATTGATTTTAAGGAGGACATTTGAGTGTTATCAATAATCGTGTATCAAATTATATAAGCAATTATGTAATGTATCGATATTTGTTTGCTATTATTTCTCACCTTAATAAATAAAAAATAAATGAATAAAACGATGTAAATATTCATTTTCCACAAAAAAGTGAAACAATTAGAGAAAGAAAAATGTTTTTTTTTTAAAAAAAAGAGCAAAAAAAAAAACATAAAGAACAAAAAAGTTTTCTTAATAGTGTTATTTTGCGACGGTATAAACCGTGACTAATGTATTAAGTAATTACATCAAATATGACCCTTTTATTCGAGTTGGGTCATTTTGGGTAATTTTGTAAATTTGGGCCAGAAAAGTGGTAAACAAAGGTTATGGGTTCACCTTATGTAATTTTCCGTGAAAATAGAAAATTTTAGAAAGAGCTAACATAATAGATATAATAAAGCCCTATAACTATATTTTCGATAATTGTATTTCATATGTATAGTTTTTTTGTTATGGAGATTGCAGTTTTGTATATTTCTACCAATTTGTATATTTCGCTTGCGAATACACAAAATATACAAATTCTATATTTATACATTTAAGAATTTTTTAGAACTCCGTTTGTATGTTTCGTGTGCCAATATTTAAACAAGGTTATTTATTATAATTTTTTCATAAATCGTATACAAATAGATAGGGCAAGCATATACAAAATTTTGGATTTATACACTCAGGAACAAATTATACAAATTCTAAATTTATACAAATCAGACGAATAACAAAAATTGGGAAAACTATAGCTGTGAATTACAATTTTCTTAAACTATAGTTATAGTACCTAATAAAGAAGGCTAATGTTTATTATTGTGTATAATTTTCCCAAAAAAAAAAACATGTGAAATTTATGAGTATTTATATTTTCTTGATAATAATAACTTGTGATTTATGAGTGTTTGTTGTGTTTATATATTTTGTTCATAATAATAAGTATGATAGAGAAAAATCATGTAAAAGTAAAAGAGCAGTAATAAATAAATAAAAAAGTATATAATTTAGAGAGACCCTAAAATTAGAGAAGAAAAGTAAAAAGGAGAACAGCGGCTTGGTAAAGGGTGAGAACAGAAGTGTCATCTATGTTGTTGAATGCAGAGATTGAAGAGGTGTTTCTCTTTGTTTTGTATTGTAGTGAATAATAAAATCTTAATTTATTCTCAACTTTGTCCTTGTGTTTGATGTTTTGGTGTTGGATTTTGATAATTTAGTGAAGGAAAATTGGGTAGTGAAGTTTTGATATAACTGTGTCAATGGCTTCCAAACTACAACTTCATCAGAACGTTGAGGTAAGGGTTTTTTTTTCATAATGAATTGCATTTGCATGTGCTTCTTTTTTCGGGTTTTTGTGAATTGCATTGCTATTTATTCAGGTGAGGAGTATTGAAAGTGGATTCCTGGGTTCATGGCACTTAGCTACTATCATTGCTTTTGATGATTTTGTTCCACAAGTTCAATACCATCACCTTCTCTCTGATGACGATGCTTCTATCAACTTGATTGAATCTGTTAAGCTTTCTCCAATTAGGCCTTTCCCACCTCCACTTCAATTTCACACATCCCTTCTATTTTATGGACAATGTGTTGATTTGTTTTATCAAGATGCTTGGTGGGAAGGAGTTATATTTGACCATCAAAACGGTGCCCTAAACCGCAGAGTTTTCTTTCCAGATATGGGTGATGAAATCAATGCTCAACTCCATAATCTACGTATAACTCAAGATTGGGATGAGGTTTCACAACAATGGAAGCCTCGTGGTAGCTGGATGTTTCTTCAAATTATTCAGGAGATTGAGAATCTCCACCCCCTTTTCGTCTCACTCAAACAAATTTGGTATCAAATCCGGGAGAAGAATGGCTACCAATACCTCAAGGAATGGACATCTACTTCGGCTGATATCTGGAGGAACTTGATCAAGGAAGTTGTGCATGAAAACGCCATGTTAACCATCAAGCATATTTTTTGTGAGTCCAACACTTCACCAGACTTTCTAGAGGGAGGTCCATTGCTAGAATTTTCACAACCCACTATTCAGGTTGAAACATATTTTGATAACTCAGACATTGTACCTTTTATTGAAGCCATATGCAAATCAATTAGTGGGGAGATGTTGTGTATGGATCGGGATGTATCATGTCTTCAGCCTATAGAAAAACAACTTGTTTCGGAGGGTTTTGGACCAATCTCAGAGGATGTTCCATTGAGTGGTAGTGCTTTATTTAGCTCAGTTCTGCCAAGCGAAGAAGAACAACAAGCTGTATCACCTAATGCTTCGCCAGTTTTACATCCCCCTAAAAATGAAATTTCTGGTACTTTGTCAATTACTACGAGTGAGAGACTGAATTTTGAGTCTTCCAATAAGATACATTCTAGAAAGAGGAAGCGAGTTGAGTGGATGACCATCGCCCATGTAGCTGAGCTTTGTCCTGATGCAGTTTCCGAGTACAATGATAATTATATGTCGAACCATAGGTCCCCAGAGTCCTTGCAAAAACTTAAGAAACATTTGTTTCACTTAGGATGGAAAATTGAGCAACCAAAGGATTGCAGCATCACTAGGACACGGTACATTGCTCCTGATGGAAAAATATTCCAATCACTTCGTCAAGTTTGTAAGATGTTGGAAAAGTCAGAAACTTGGGCAGAAGGCCAAAAAACATCATATGATGGTTCATCTGATGACCTCAACTTGTCTACTTGCCTGGCAAAAACAAAGACATGCAGTGAGGTGTCTGAGCTGCCATATACTTCTCAAGAACCAATCATTGATCCTGAAATCTGCCGTGAAGCTGTAATTGAATATTGTTCACTGGGATCACCAGACAATCCTGCCTATAAGAAGTTGAACAGTGGGGAAAAGAAGTTTATGATCATGAAAGCTAAGAAGCACCTAGTTGCAATAGGATGGATATTTTATTATTATTGGGGAAGGGACAAGAGAGAATTGCGGTACCATTCTCCTCATGGGAAAACATTCAACACTCTTCTAGCAGCATGCAGATGGTGTATGCAGCAGTGGAAAGCTGAGGAACAGATGCCTGAATTATTTTCCCGGTCAACTGTTCTGGAATATCAGGGGAATTCGGCACCTCAAAGAACCTCATGTGAGAAGTTATCAGCGGCGACATTTTCTGTCCTGCCACATGCGAAAGAACCTGCTCAACTTAATAAAGTCACAGTTTGTGAAATCAGCAAAACAAGAAAGAAGACTAATCATGCAGGTGGCATGTTGAGAAAAGGAAATGAATCTAGATCTTCAAGAACAGTAACAGATGGTACAGAATCTCAGTCTTCAGTTGGTCTGTTGCGATCCAGTAAAAAAACTCGGCAGGGAACACTTTCTTCTTCCTTGCATCATACACCTCGAACAGTTTTATCTTGGTTGATTGACAATAATGTGGTTCTGCCGCGTGCGAAAGTGCAGTATCGTGGGAAAAGAGATGGCCGTCCAATGGCAGAAGGGCGGATCACTCGTGCAGGGATCAAATGCAAGTGCTGCCAAAAAGTTTATGGAATTAGCAGTTTTGAGGTGCATGCTGGAAGCAGTTATCACCGACCTTCAGCAAATATATTTTTGGAAGATGGACGATCCCTTCTTGATTGTCAACTGCAGATGAAAGAAAAGGCTAGTTTAAGACACACGAGGAAGAGACCACCTTTGTTGAAGAAGCGCAGCCATTTGGGCACAAATGACTATGTGTGTTCCGTGTGCCATTATGGTGGTGAATTACTTCTGTGTGATGAATGCCCATCTTCCTTTCATACTGGTTGCCTTGGAATGAAGGTATCTCTCTCTCGCTATATATATATATATATATCGTACTTTTGTTTCTTTCTCCTCTTAAAGATCCATATTGTCGTCAAGGTATTGTCAATTTATTGGTTCGACTGAGAGAGAGAGAGAGCATTTTGCATATTGGTTCTACACCTGGTTTGATACCAACTTAAGGTTATTGCTTAAATAGGAGATTCCAGATGGAGAGTGGTTTTGCCCATCATGCTGTTGTGAAACCTGTGGCCAGAGCAGATTTGATAAAAACAAAGACCACTTTACCGACAGCAGTCTACTTATCTGTTGTCAGTGTGATCACAAGTGTAAGTAGCTCTTTTGATAATTTTTTATGTCCCTACAACAGCTTATCTTAGGCATACAGAATTCTGTGAATGTGTGGCATTACTGATGTTGATCCTTTTTGTACAGATCATGCTCGGTGCGTGAGAAATAAGGGTCTTCAAAAGCTGGATTATTATCCTGTAGGAAGTTGGTTTTGCAATAAGAGATGTGAGCAGGTATTTGATTTCATGCCTAACACAGGAACATAAAACATTGGCATCATGAGTAGAGAGCAAAGCTACCATTTCTTGTCAATTGTCTCATTGAGAAGTTATTTCAGTGTAAAATGAAGTTCACCAGTCGGATCTTAGAAAACTTTCTTACTGATTATTCCCATGTTATTGATCCTAGGGAAATGTTAAATGCGGGAAAAGCATCATGTTGACCTGCGCCAGTATCCTCTTTGTCTATTGAGTTTTACTTTTAAGAAACATTTTGTCTAAGTCAACTGAAATATCTGTTGCAGATATGTTTGGGTATCCGCCAACTTTTGGCAAAGCCAGTTATGGTGGGAATTGATAACCTCACTTGGACTTTATTGAAATACGTGAAACCTGATGATTTTGATTCGGATGCTGCTGATGATGAGTTCATCTTGGAGACTTATAGTAAACTTAGTGTCGCTCTGGATGTGATGCATGAATGCTTTGAGCCTGTCAAAGAACCTTACACAAGGAGAGATCTTATGGAAGATGTTATCTTTAATAGATGGTAATATCCAGCTTTAGAAATTCTTGAGCTATCATTGTTGAATTATGTGCGAATATTCTTGTTCAACCACATAATTTATGCAAAACAAAATTATGCATTTCATACGACACTTTCATTGTTGACACACTCTTTCATCAAAGGTTAGAGTAGACCTTACACAATTCATGAACTTAATCACTCTTGATTTTAGACTTGCCATAAATAGAAGTTTAGTTTATTATTTGTAACTATAGATAACATGGTACTCTGTATAGAAAAAATCTATAGATGACATGGTATATCTCAACTTGAGTACAGACATATGTTTTAATTATTTATGCTCTGACAAAAAGTTGTAATTCGAAATTGCAGGTCAGAGCTGCATCGCTTAAGTTTTCAGGGTTTCTATACTGTGCTTCTGGAAAGAAATGATGAAGTTATTTCAGTAGCAACTGTAAGGTATCCAACCATTATATATTAGTACTATTCATTCAAGTGAAGTTTTCTCTACTTTTTCTTTCAGTAAATTCTCTTTAAAATTAGTTGAACAATGTGATTGAATTTTATCGATAGTAAGCTAACAATTTTCATGCTCATAGGGTTTATGGAGAAAAGGTAGCCGAGGTTCCTCTTGTGGCAACAAGATTTCAGTACCGCCGACTTGGAATGTGTCGCATCTTAATGAATGAGCTTGAAAAGGTATGCAAATCTACTTTCTTTCATTTACCTTCTTCAGGGAGAGGAAGGAAGAGTTGTTGCTGAGGATGTACATAATGTATGTTTTTAAAAGATCCCCAATAATTACTTTATTAAGCAGGGATGTTCTGTTCATGAAAGCTATAATTTGTAGGAGATATCTTTGAGTTTTTATTTCTTAGTCATGTGCTTCTTTCCTTCCATGGTTATAATATTAATATTTTTGAGGCTATGCATTTGAGTTGACTGTTGGGACATCAGCTTGTTCTCCTTATCAGAAGTATAAACATGCATTTTTATAGGAGACAAACCTTTGGACATGGTTTTTTTGGCTCTCTAGATATCATATAAGCAGCACTCTTAGGGCTCTTTATTTTTGGCTTCAATGCTCAGTTATGCTACATCGATGTCAAGTTCTGGTTACCTATCGAAACAAAAGGACTTCAATTCTCGTTAGAATAAGTGATGATATGAGGCACATGTATGACAGTGAGAATTGCAATGATCCTGATAACTATGGCTATTTATTTGGTTTTATTTCTTTCTTGTGATACCGAAATAAAATATTAAACCTTTTAATTTCTCAGAGTCAGCTGCTACATAGGTGGGGAATTGTGGATTATGATGAACATGCTTTGACATAGATTGAATATGCTTGTCATCTGATCTGCTTTTTCTTTCAACTAAAGCTATTTTGTTCTTCATTCCAGAAACTCATGGAATTAGGAGTTGAGAGGCTAGTTTTGCCAGCTGTCCCCACCGTGCTAAACACATGGACCACTTCATTTGGTTTCTCAATGGTGAAAGAATCTCAGAGGTTAAACTTCTTGAATTACACTTTCCTTGATTTCCAGGGTACAATATTGTGTCAGAAACTTCTCCAGAATATCCCTCCAGAGGTATCAAGTGAATCAACAGGTATGTAAAACTCTTCATTTACTGTGGAAGGAGATGGAGATTTGATATGGATGGACTAAAACTTCATTTTTATCCAGAAGCTTATCAAACTCAATTTGACCACATAAACAGCAAGGAGAATGTTGAGTTGGATGGAAACAGTGCGCTTTCTGAGGTCTTCCAAGCTGAGCAAATTGAGGAGAGTGAAATTGTGGACCAAGGATCTACAGAGTATGTTTCCCCTTTGATTTCTGTTTTCTAAGGACTGAAGAAGGTAATCAGGGAGATATAACATTCAAATCAAGCAGAACATAACATGAAAGTTGTAATATGACTTTGATAGCCTATTCAAGCTTGATAATTATGTCTTTAGGAGACTATAACAACAACATACCAAGTGCATAGGTAGAGAGGCTGTTTCCGAAAGACCCCAAGTAACAGTAGAAGAAAACAATGAAGAAAGCACAACAGTAAATACGAAAAGCAGTGTAGTTCCTACAAGAAAGGAACAATACCACAACAAATAGTGTGATCGAAACACAACACACAATATATGATGTAATATAACAAAGGCAAGACAACACTCTACCTCTATTAACCTTCTACCCTAATACACAATTTCCACTCTTTCCTATCTAGGGTCATGTCCTCAGTGATATGAAGTTGGTCCATATCCTATCTAATCACCTCTTCCCAATATTTTTCGGCCTACCTCTACCCCTCCTCGTACCCCCTATGACCAACCTCTCGCACCTCCTCACTGGGGTGTCAGTGCACCTCCTCTTGAGTCTTCACATGCCCAATCCATCTCAGTCTCGCTTTTCTCATCTTGTCTGCACAGGGGTCTCTCCCACCTTCTCTCGAGTAACCTCATTCCTAATCTTGTTGCTCCTAGTGTGCCCACACATCCATCTCAACATCCTCATCTCCGCAACACGCATCTTCTGAACATGTGAGTTTTTGACTGGCCATCACTCCACCCTATACAACAATGATGGTCTAACCACCGCTCTGTAGAACTTCCTTTAAGTTTAGGTGGTACATTTTTATAACAAAAGACTCTAGAGGCAAGCCTGCATCTCATCCAAGCCGTGCCAATGCGATCATCGTCTATGTCCCCACTTCCCTGGATCATGGGCCCAAGATATTTAAAACTCTCTCTTGGGAATAGTCTGTGTGGCAAGCACACACAAGCCTTACTTCCCGTCTGCTTCATCCAACGCAACACTGAATTTGCACTCCAAATTTTCCGTTTTGGCCCCACTCAACCTGAACACTTTGGAGTCCAGAGTTTGTCTCCAAACCTCAAAACTAGCATTAACTCTGTCCCGTGTCTCATCAATCAATACAATGTCGTCCGCAAATAACATACTCCATGGAACCTCCTCCTGAATAGACCGTGTCAACTCATCCATCATCAAGGCCATTAGGGAAGGGCTAGAACTGATCCCTGGTGCAGCCCCATCTCAACTGGGAAGTGCTCCGAGTCTCTGTCTTAAGGAGATTGATCATTCTAATCACATATTAATGTGTCTCAGCTAATCCTCTTCTGCAATATAAGGTGAGGGTAGGGGCATGTTTTATTGGGCTTGAAATTACTGTGTATGAGATGTGAAAGATTCAAATTTCTATTAATTGAGAATAAACCACAATTTGTCTGTATGTGAGGATGCCTTTAGGCTTTAGTTTCCAACATGTAGAAAAAACTATGTTTTGCGCATTTAAGTAGGAGTTATCTCAGTGAAACAATTTTTTTTTCGTTGGTGTTATTTCTTTGTTTTACTGTAATACTCAAGAAAAATGGTCAGTCAGGGATTCATACCCAGCATGTATGGGATCGAGGCGTAATTGTTGATGTTGCAGATTTGGAGTACTACTCAAATAGTTTTGATTAGGCTCACTGCAAGAAAATTTATCAAGTGTTGAATTTGGTCATGTCTAATGTTCTATTGGTGAGATTCACATATTACAATTTAAGAAAAGATGACGTAGAAAGCAAATTGAATGACTCTTGCCTTTTTTAACTTTCCACTTAAGGGATGAGCAGATTTCTGGTATGCATCATTTAATGTTTTTGCTTCAAATGTTGATGAAGTATGCTGCTTGAGGGAAAATGGTCTTTCAACATGCTCATTGAGATGATGTTTGCCCCAACCAAGGTGTTTTTACCAGCTCGCTTAGCAAGGGAATTCAAACCTGCTTCCAGAAACCTAACAAAAACAGTGCAAAAGATCCTGTTTAGAATGTCATCTGATTAGCACAAACCACCACAATGCCCCTAACCAATCCACAGTATGAATAGGAGGCACTAAACTGTGTACTTAGCTTGTATCATCATGTTAACTTTGGCACGGTCACTTCATTTTTCGTTGTCAAATTACGGTACATTCTGCTTAAGGAATAAGGAGGTCTCTTGTGTGTACCATTTAATATTCTTGCTTAAGAAGTTTACGAGGTATCAGCTTGAGAAAAGTGGTCTATCAACCTGCTCATTGAGATGATGTATACCCAACAAAGGGTGTAAAAATTGTTGTTATTTTACTGGTTCACAAAAGGGTTTCTTTAGGACTACATGTGGATCAAGAATATTGTAGCAATTGCCAACTTGAAAGGCTTGATATTCTTGATTCTTCTTCTTGGTGAGAGAGTACATCTGAGTTATAGGTGTCGGAAATAAAAAGTTATTTTGCAGAATTAGAAGCTCTAAATTCAAGCCTTCTTCTAAAGACCTCACAAGAACTTTGCAGCGGATCCTGTTAGAATGCCATATGATTAACCCCACCCCCAACCACCAGAGTGTGTAAAGAAGGAACAAAGATGTGAACTTAGCTTGTCTGGCGATTTCTTCATTTTCAATTTCGCTTCAGATAGGTGAAGAAAAACTCAATTTGGCAAATATAGTGGTTAAAAAGAGTTCTCAAGTGAGTTTGCTCCATAGGTAACACACACAGACACAATGATTAGGTGGTGAATCATAGATACTAGCAGGTACACCCATAGGATGGTGCATAAACTTTCGGATGCAAGATCAGAGAGTTGGATTTACTCCCCCATTGTCTTTGTGTTATATGTCTATTCGTTGAAGAGCCAGGGATAGTGGATTAGAAAATTTAGCAAATGAACATCTTACTTATTGATCTATTTTATTGTATGAGAAAGTTGGGTTGCGGAGGCTGCCTGTAGCTAGTTATATTTTAGGCTGTTCAGTCTTTATTGTCCTTGGAACAGTGAACACATTTAGGATCCAAATGCGCACTTAGAACTTGATTGTGTTCTTGTGTCCAAACCATGGCAATTTCTTTCCCAGCTGATAAAACTTAACTGTTGTACTATTTGTCAGTGCACCTGGAGGATGTGAAAGCAATAATACTGATGCTCCAGCTCCTTTCATTATTGTGGTAACTTTCCTTTGCTCTGAACATTGTCTCAGCAGATTTTCTTACTAGATCCTCATGCTAAGTATTATTGTTTGTGGTCTTTGAACAGGTGAACCAACAAGCTCCTCTTGGCTGCCAGGATGAAACTAGTCTGCAGTACCGAGCTGAAGTTACTGATAGTAAGGTCTTAGAAAAAACAGGTGTTGTTCAATACATATGTTACAAGCGGAGAAAAAAGATATCAGCCTGTGGAAGCTAAGCTGGTTTTGGAAGGAGTAGCTATCTAGTAAGCTCTGGTAAAATATTAGAAAAAGAAGAAACAAGCATGGAAGTTTGATGGGGCCAAATACTTTTGCTTTGTTAACCTTATGTTTTCCTTGTTAAAGGAGGGAAGCTAGTGGTGTATATGTTCATGTACAGTTATCTCTAGGTACATAAATCTTTTCTAATCCTAAAAGTACAAATGTATAGAACCACAGTCCACGGCTTGCAAGTATTCAATGTCACTCCGCAAATGTATCTCTAGTCTTTATTTGTTGATTTGAAAATTTTATTCACATGTATGATCATAAAATTAATTAGGAAATTAAATTTTTGGATCAGTCTAATTTGAATATTATATCATGTGCATGCGCTGAAGGTCAATAATCAAGGGTTATGACTTCTTTCTTATTAAATTTTGATATGATCAATGATTACTTGAAAGTTGTAAAAGATGATTATTGATGTCTAATACGTTTCAAAGTTGCAAGTGATTTTAAATTATGAGCAACCACTGTTCCATTGGGTTCAAGTGAAGTAGAAAAAATTGAAAAAATATCTAGGGTAGGGTAAAATAAGCAAGAATGTGATCAAACTATTTCCATCCATTAAAATAAAAGTTAGTAGATACCATAGCCTCTTTTTATGTCGAATATGAATTATGTATATTTGAATGTGGAAGGGTAGGACACGAAAGGGGATTTATACACATCTCAATAACCAAAATAACTTGTTCATTTGAGTATTGATTATTGTCTCTACAAGTCTTAGTCTTTTTTAATGGGATAGGATCTTCGAGAATATAGTTGATGATATAGGGAGGCTTTAATGATTTTAGTATATTGGAAGACATAATGACATGCCTTGTAATAAAAGAAGAAGCCAAAATGAAAACTCACTTAGAGTAACAACAACGCTGAACTAATTAACAAACAAGTTAGATATGAGAGAGCATTGAATAATGAAAACTAGAAAGGATTATTTTCCAAAATTTCTCATCTTCTACAAACATGCTTCCATCATTCTCCAATTGTCATAGATTTGGAAGGAAAACACCCCGCCATGATATTAAACACATCATTCGAATATATGTGTGTTTCAATAAAAGATACTATAACAAGGCCCTTAGAGATCTCTAAAGAAGAAATACACAAAGCAACACTACCAATAGAACTCACCCTGTTCCTTTGAATAGACAAGTATGTTAGGACCGAAAATATAAGGGTGTCATGCAGAAGCTAGCAAAGCAAATCTCGAAAGACCACGAGTAAGAAGACAAGCGAGAAGTATATTAAAAGACACAAAGACTTAACGTGGTTCGGTCAACCGACCTACATCCACAAAGGAGAAGAACAATTCACTATATAAATATGAGAGTATAAAATATAGAGAGAAATAACCTCAACCAATTCACTCGGAATACAAGGAGGTTCACACAAGTGATAACGTATTGCTTGTGTGTCCCACAAATTCTCCCCCCTAACCAAAACTCTCAAAGCCCCTAGGACTACATTGTGAATGTTGATTAAGTTAGAAGGAACACACTTCTATTTATAGAGTCCTAAATATTTTCCTACAAGAAAAAGACTTGCCAATCCTAAACCTTTTCCTAAAAAGAAACCCTATTTATGATAAGAAACTCACGGCAATTAATACCCAACAAAGTAGACTATTGAAGAGAAAAAAAGATTGAGACTTTTTACATATATATGCACCAGATTTCCATGAGGAGAGTTATAAATATACAAGGAACTGAAAAAGCTTATTAGGAAAGTTACCATAAACATTCAAAAGGAATTAGTATCAAAGGAGTCAAGGAAGCCCCATCACATCAATAAGAGAAAGACCAAGTCAAATTAGAATTGGATGCTAGGCAAGTCTTGAACAAAATCTAACTTGGATTGAAGACAACGAAAAAATAGAGTCCTCAGAGACAGAGTGTTCACAAGTATATACCATCAAGTTTTATCCATATAGTTGTTTAGTTTTTAATAACTAATTTCTTGGTGTAGGATCTTGATTACATTATTTTATATTGTAGTAGGTACTGTATTGAGTTGTAAAGGGAGAAATAAGTATTATGAGTGTAGGGAAGACGTGATTTAAGGGAACAGTTTCTTAGGTGTTACAAGGACAATTGTAAACCTCAAATTATAGTGAAGAGTTGGATCATGGTTTTTGAATCATAAGGGAAGTAATTTAAATATGTGTGTTGATTTACTTACACAATTTATCTTATAGAATTGTTTATCAAAGAACACACTTCTTTAAGGGTTTAGGACGCAACCAAACTAATGCCATAACAACTTCATATGCCCCGCTTGTAGCATCTTCAATCTTTATGAGCTCTTGATGTGCATCTTCCCCTTAATATTGAAAATATCCTCTTAAAAACCAGCTCCTTTGTTGTTCAACACTTACAACATCATATTGATACAACAAGCTCCCTACACAAGATTTGTTAGCTAGCGTAGCTCCCCCATGATTTCATAAAGATATATCTGTTCCCTGAATCAGTAGACTTAAGCAACTTTCAGCCTCTTCTGTGTTTTACAAGTATCTGGATTGAATGACAGAAAATTCTATAAACCTACTTAACTAACTACATGAATATATTTTCGAACACAACTACCCAACACTCTAATCTTTTCAGCTTAAATGATAGGCATTATTAAGCCCTATTTTTGGTTTTACAGTCTTGTTAGAATGTATGTATGTGCATCTGCACTAAAGTTTGTTTTTTATTTTTATGCTCTTTTTTGAATGAAGTCTAGCAATTTCTATTTTTAGAGTACCATTCTAAAGAGTGATAAATTTCATCATTCTACTGCACCTACCAAGTTTATCCTAAAATAAAAATAACTAAGTTGGTTCAAGGAGACTATCCTTTTCTGAAAAACACCAAAAATATAAATTGAGGAACCCAACATACAAATAATAAGAAAAAATAATACAACAATGTATATCTAACAAGATATCAAAAGATGCAATATATCAATTCGGCCCAAAACATTCAAATAGAAATCTAAAATTTAACTGTATTAACAACCTAAAAGTGAAACGGCGACTCGCCGAAGTTGAAGGGTGAATAAGATGACCATCACCAAAGGTGACAAGACTTGGATAAAAAATGAAGGCTTAAAAGGTGAACAAAGGTGGTAATCAACAATCCGCCGAATGTGAAAGGCAGACGTGAACAAGTTCACCAACTGAGGTTCAAACTCTTGAAGCCTGGAGTAAAAGAAAGGTGAGCTAAGGAACAGACGGTGAACCAATCATGTTTGGCAAGCCCAAAAAATGTTGTTGCGTTTGTCACACAGTGAAGTTTGGGTCAAATTTTTGGAAACTATAAATAGCCCAAAGGAGACAGAAAATAGTGAGATTTTTTGGAGTGCTTTTTAGAGAGATCATTTTGCAGAGAATAGTTTTTGTGATTGAGAGTTTGTATGAGACTTCTTTCCTTGTGAAAAACATCTTTAATTTTGGGGTTTTAAATTTCATTCTTGAAATTGACAATTGGAAGTTGAAATCAAAGTGGATATTGATTATAATTGCTTAATTTCATTACATCCATGAATGCTGATACGTCCCAATTTACACTTCACTTAAGAAGTATAAAATGGTTGAAGTCAACTATAGAAATCAACAAGAGTTGAGATCGGTCCCATAGGGAATGGAGAAGAAATAAGTCTACTAGTTCTTCTGGTCAGTTGTGGTTGTTATTTCCAGATATAAAAATGCTTATAGTAAATTGGGTTTGACTTAGTGTTAAGGTAACCAATTGTAACTAGAATCCAATAGTAACAGTGACAAGTGACAATTTCAAGGTTTTGATTATCGATTATAATAAACTACGACCGCGTTCCCCATGACATTGGAATAAAACTCAGATTTCTCACAAATAACGGTTGTTTGATTCAAGGCATGCATTACTAGAAAGCTAAGAACACCTAAATGCTTTTCATCCCTATTAGGTGAATATCACTCCTCTCAACCATTGCCGAGAAGAGAAAATGATCACTGGGGGGGGGGTGTCAAAAGAATATGAAAAATCGGCCAAACCGATCGAATCGAACCAATTTATGTTATTTTTTCAATAAAATCGTGGACTTTTATTTAAGTGTATAACTATCCCGAACAATTGGGATGATTTTTTTAATTTATGAAAAAAACCGAAAAATTCCCGAACCGATCCGAATAACCTTGCATGTATGTAAATATATTTTATATATTAACAATATGTTATATTTAATATATAAATATATTTAATAATAATTTTTAAATATAAATATAACATAAGTCCTAGGGCTCTAGTGCTAGACAACTTTGGGTCTTTGCTCTTTAATTAACATTTACTTAATTAAGTTTAAAATTAAAAGATATTGTACTAGATACTCTATCAAACAATACAACAAAACCTATGCAAACACTCCTATTAAATGTTTAAGATCAAACAATACAACAACAAGGTTTTACATTTTTGTCTTCGCGATGAAGAATTAAAGTGTTTCTTCAAGAACATATTTACGAAAGAAATACTTAATAGTAGTATATTTTGAAGTGATATTTTAAAAGTAAAAAAAAAACAAAAATTAAACGAACCATACTGAAGAGAAACCAATATGATTGCGATGATTTTAAAAATAAAATTTTAGTTATATATTATAAAACAACTGAAAAATTAAAATGGTATAATTTTAAAAAAATAACCGACCGAACCGTACCATTGACCCCCTAACTTCTTATGTTCTGGCACTTGATACAATTCTTTGAATGGAAGGAACCTTGTATTCAGAAACAAGAAAATAATTTTTCAAAAAGTGTGAAAATAACTCATGGGAGTGGGAAATTTTCAAAAATTTAGGTGTCTTTTAATGTATTAATTTCCCACTGTACAATCAATTAACACAAAAATGAAAGAAGAAAAAGCTAATCATCTGATTTTACAGCATACATTTTGTCAACTCTCTCTTGAATAACGACTGGTCTCCTCTGCAACTTTCGACCACTCTTGTCCAATTCTCTCCGTATAAGCCACCTGTTACATTCATGGGAAAGCAGAGAATTTACTCTTAATATTTTCAAAGCATAGTGAAATCCACTATGTATACCATCCATCACAAGTTTTAAAATTCACGACATGCAATAGAAAGTGTATCAGATACATATTAGCTTAAGGAAGAAAAATAAAGTAGTTGTCAGTTCCTAGTGTTGGTAATTCATCAGAAGCAATAGTAGTAAGAGTCCCGGATATTAGCTAAAGAAAGAAAAGGAATGAAGTTCTCAGTTAATAGCAAGGACATTATCTAAAGTGATCCAGGGAACCAGTCAATCTGCTAGGACTAAAGCTAATCAGTTAAGTTTATTTTACCATTTTAGTAGAAACAGATGATGCATTTCCAAAACTCCAGAGAGATCATAGGTCTCCTGACATAGTCTTGAGACAACTTCCCCCCGTATGAATTTAAAGCTCACCTCACCCGCTTTAAGGACATCAATCATCATAGGGCGAAAATATTACGTATATCTGAGATTGTATTTTAGCAAAGAACATAGGCATTCAGAGTTGACTGCTACAACAATGGGCTTATTTATTGCAATGGCTTGAAAAGAAGCCAATTTGATCATCCTGCAAAGTTCTTGGTTCGCATATAGACATGTGCCTCATCAGGTGAGGTTCTCGTTTCATCCTAAAATCCTTAGTCTCAATGTGTTTCTCCATGATTGTAGCTTTGCATTGACTGGAGAAGGGGGTAGTAGGTGGCATGCTATGTAAAATAATAAGTTTCTTTGATTTGAATTTTTTTAAAACTATTAATTATATTCCGTACCCATTAGTATCTCAAATAAAAATCTATATAAAAAAATTAATCACATCGGATTAATTAAAGAAGTACAAAAGTTTAAATAATTATAATAAATAATAATTATTGAACTGACATTTTACTAAATTAAGATTAATGGATGGATTTAGTTTTTAAGTAATCATTACATGACCAAAGCGAGCCAACTGTTATGTTACACCGGATTAGCCTAGCCCGAGCTTTGACTGAGCCAAGCTTAATATAGGGCAAGCCAAGCCAGCTCAGCCCTATGCCCAGTCTAAATCATACAGCTATCACTATTTTGCAGCTATCATCAAATCCTTCAATGGATTTCCCTTCCCTGTTTCTTTCACCCATTTTGTCTACTTCAATTTAAAAACCCTTAAGAGGGGTGGAGATAAGGTTAAGCTTACTTACACTGCTACTACCAAGAAACAAGAAACGGAACCTCAATGTAACAATGTATCCAAAAGAGAAACCAGTCATATGAACAAGGAAGTACCTGATTAGTTACGAATCCTTTCAACATGTTCACAAAGTCAGCATGCCTTTCTCTATTTATTCGATCTATCTCACTTTGATTATTTTCCTGCAATCAGAAAAATAATTTCTATAAGGACTCTCTATATAGAACAATAAATAAGAACACACTAACTGAAATTACTTAAAAGTCAGAAATATTGAGATTACTAATTTCACAAAAATATCAAGAGGCAAAGGATAAAAAAAATAAAATTTCTTAGAGAAATCCACATCCTGCAATTGCATGAATGCAAAGAAGAGCCTAGCGGTCCAGCTAACATAGCCAAACTGCGCTTAAATGAAAATAACTCTACTTATAACACTCTTTAAGTTAGTTCAGGATGATTAAGAAAAAGGAATTAAACTAATTCCACTTCTACTTTACCGTATAGTTCATGTACAACAGATGTTAGTTCGATCTTTCGCAGGCTGACTGCCAAGACAAACTCAAGGTAACTTAAGAAAATTGATTTGATGATTGTACTACTACCGTGAAATGTACATTCTCTCCACCCCTTCTCATAGTTCTAATGCTTTCTCTAATTTTGAAGTATCGCTTCTCCAATATCACTGTCAGATCGAACCGTCCTCTCTCTCTCTCTAATAGGGCTTTCATCTCGACACCCCCCCCCCCCCTCTTCTCTGTTGTAATGATTCCCAGGTCATTTCTGTGTTTATGCATGTTGTTAGTAGCATGGCTTTCAGTTTTAATCAATTCTGACGATTCCATCAGCTCCGAAAGGGTAACTTTAGGCTAGTAGCATGGTCGGCACAACTCCCAAGGCTTTCAGTGTGAGTTTGTGCGATTAGGCATTTTAACTTTCAAGTTAAGGCCTAAGTTTGACTTCAATCAACATTCTGAGTAAACGAGATCGGATGAGAATTTTGTCAGCGCGGTTAGCTCCGAGATATTGAGTTTCATCTAGAACGACTCTTCGTTTGGATTTTGAGGGTTTCAGGCTAATTTCGAGCCCCCCTTGTGAATTTTGGCTTAAAATGGAGTTGGGTGTGGGACCCATATTCTGTCAAGACAACCTTGTATGAAAGTTTTGACTGCTTCATTGAGTTCGGAATGTCGTTTTTGATTGGTTTGCATATTTTGTTTGTGTGTACAGGTTCCGAACCCCAGGTGGAGCCTAAGTTCTGGTGCCCGAGGGACTTTGCTAAAAAAATTTGGTGCCTGAGTTTTGGTGCAGCTGCTCTTGCGCCCATGGGTTCGCTTAAGCGAATGCTGCTTTTGCGACCAGGGCTCCGCTTAAGCGAGGCCAGCCAGTTAGGCGGTTGTCGCTAAAGCAACCTTGAGTTCACTTTCGCAGCCCTCGCTTTTGCGGACAGGGTTCGCTTAAGTGAGGCCCGCCTCTTTGAGGCCTGTCGCTCAAGCGACATTAGTGGCCGCTTAAGTGGTCATCGACCAGTCTTTTAATTAAGACTTGGTCATGAATTCAGTTTTTTGTTGAATATTGATTTGGCGATTTCTCCCTTTCGAGCTTCGATTTCACTGATTCGAAGTCTTGAGTGATTGTTAGGAGCGTGGCTACTTGGGTTTGTGATCGGAAGCTGTTGAAAAACCTCCGTTTGAGGTGAATTTGTGTCTTTGGGCAGCCTTTGGCTTATTTGTTGTTGGAATTGCATGCTTAATTGTGTGTTGGCTGTTTTGGGAGTTGGATTGTGTTCTATTTTGGAAAACAAGTTCGGGGCATAGTTTAGGACCTCTTGATGGAGTCAATTTTAGAAATTTCAACGCGGGTCCCACAATTCATTGTTTGACTCCAAAATTGGTTTGTTTTCGTTTTATATGATTTTGAGGTCTAAACGACCGTACTAACGTTGTGATCCTATTCTTGATAGCGTGGCAGCGTTCGGAGGCTGTTCGAAAAGGAAAAGCTCCAACTTGGTGATTGGAGCGCGCGCAGTCGGCCAACAGGTAGACTACGACTTCTTTTCTAGTTAGATTGAGTTGGGTTGCGTAAATTCATGAGGATTAGTGTGAATTGGGGGTGGGTACCTAGTTATTCTTGCTTTTTCTCTTAGAAACCATATTTTAGGGTTGATCGCCACTGAGGGTAGTACCATGCTAGTTTGGGTTTTATGGGTGTAGTCGCATGTTGTTGAATTACTTGTGTTGTTACTTGTTATTTGGAGCATGTTTGGCCTTAGTTTAGGATAGACCAGTGTTGCCTTAGACTCGCGAGCCTTGTTATCGTCTCTGACGTTTGGCCAGACTAGATCCTTGTAGACTGGAATAGCAGACTTTAGTCTGATAGTATGAGCCTTAGTTTAGGTGTTTGCACGGCTTTGTAGACCATCTGTCGTCTCTCCCTATCTCTGCGGCTCCAATGCGTTGCTGGAGGGTTGTGTTTTCGTGGCGACTTGAGAGTGGGCTGTTCTGGGCTTGGAGCCTCCTGTGGATGCTTGTGGGTGGACGTCGTTCCACGATGATTTAGTCATGATATTTGAATCCTCTTTGGAGTCTACACGCCCTTGTCACTCTTGCTAGCTGGGTTGGGAGTTGCCAGGACACTATGATTATTGTTAGTTTGAGGCCGATGCTTTACAGTTTGAGGTCGTTATCTCTAGTCTGAGGCTGATGTTGATGGTTTGAGGCAGTTATTCCCCGTTCGAGGCTGTCACCTCTAGTTAGAGGCTTAGTTGCGCGGACTCTTCATTTTTGATGCCGCACCCGTGTCGGATTCTCCAAAAATACACTACTTTTGGCGAATCAACATGCACCCGTTGAAATTTTTGAAGAGTCTGAGCAACATAGTTTAGAGGCCATCACATGGGGTTCGATGCCCGGTATACACTTATTGGAGCTGGATTTGAGGCACTTCACTCTTGTAGTCATAATTATTCAGTGTACATGTCGGGCTTATGGGGGACTACTCGGGTTTTATTTAAACTTGCGCACGCGGTTACTTCTGGGCTTATAGGGCACAGTTAGGTTTAATTTAGTTGTATATATTTACTTTCGGTATGCTTATGTGCTTTCTTTCTTTTTGAAATTGAACTTGTGTGCTTTCTTTCTTATCCGCTTGACCTGTTTGTGTCTAGATTCTATGTTTTCTGATTGTTTTTACCTTTCATGCCCTGTTGGCCTGTGATACCTGCTGATGCTATCTGTGATACCGCTTGCCTGTCTTTAATGAAGGCCATTTGATGTGAATCCACCAGCTTGTGCATTACTGTCTTGAGCCTTTCTGTCAGTAGCTTGGAAATGATCTTGTATACACTACGAATCAAAACTGATAGGCCTATAATCCTTCAATTCCTTTGCATCTTTTTTTAGGTATCAAGGCCTATATAAGTGGGTATTGAAACTCTTCTCAAAGAAACCTTGGCAGTGAAGTTTTGAATTACCAACATAATGTCTGCTTTGATCATCTCAAGTTGATTTTTTTTATTTTGAGATTGCCATGAGTGGTCACATTCCATTCTTTAACCTGAACTTCGGTGCTTTCAACTTACTTAGCTAGTAGGAAGTCCGGCCTTCCTACAGCTTCAAAACTTGAAGTATGACTTTGAGTTATCCCGATTTCCGTATTTCAAAGATAAAGGCCAGTGATCTGAGATGACCTTAGGCAAGATTATCTGCTTGTCGCTTGATATTTCTGAACTCCTCCCATTGGGGTTGTAGAGAAATCTGACTATCCTGGATGTAGAGTCTTGGATGCCTCCACGAGCCCATGTATCTTGGAAAAATCTTTCATACTTCTGGACAGAGAAGTTGCATTCTTCTTTTCATAGATGAACCTAGTTGTGTTGAAGTCACCACAAGGTCCCAGAGATCTTCATATAAACCCCTGGTTCCACCAATCTCTTCCCACTAATTCAACCTTTCTTTCGTAGAATTTGGCCCATAAACTCTAGTCAAGCACCACTCGAAATTTTGGCCAATGGTCCTGAATCTCTATGTCAAAGAATGAACTCCATTGCATATGAGTTCTCCCCTCCAAACTCTACTATCCCACATGAATAGGATTCCCCCTCTAGTGCAACGTGCTTGCAAACATTCAAAGTTGACACATCTGTTAGCTCAAATTTCTTTCACGAACTTGGTTATATCCCCTTCTACCTTGGTCTCTTGCAGACAATAAATATCTGCTCCCCCACTGTTGAATTAAGCTTTTCAGAGTATCCCCCCCCTCTCGCTCCTCATTAATGCCCCTACCATTCCATGAGATGATGTTCATCTTCATGGTCTACCTTCAATAGTCAATCTCCCCCTTACTCTGCTATTATTGCTTTTGAATTTCATGTTGAAATTAAGCCTTAGAGTTCCTGGATACCTTTCCATCTTGCTGCTCCAAAGCTTTCTGGAATTGGGGAGGGTGTCATGGGCATTCTCAAGTTGTCAATCTTTGAAAATAAAGCCTGAACCTCTTGTTCGCATTCTCTATAATTAAACCCCAAATTGTTTGCAGATTTTACTGATGTTTTTGAATGTCCGTAAGGATATACATACCATACACCTGAGAATTAGTATCAACTGGTTCGACACCTTCTATCAACAAAGGAGCTTCTTCAGCACTTCCTATTAGTTGCATGGAAGATATACAGTGGGGGGATTATGCTATTGACCTACTTTGCTTGAAGGAGTGCCCTCTTCTCCCAAATCCAAGACTTCCGACCTCATCATCATGTTCTTGTGCACCAGATAGGCATCTAGAAGATAAGGCCATCGCTTTCGATTTCCACATCACGAGGAACTTCTGATCCATCTCCATTAACTTAAATCCTTGCCCATCAAAGATGATTTTTTAGTGTTGTTCTTCCTCTGTTTCAATCCATCCACCACAGGTGTCTCCTATGTGTTTGAATGTGGACTGCGACCACAGATTCATAGGTAATCGATAGATGCAAATTCATACCCAACTTCTTATCTCTTCTTCCAGCCAACATCCAACAGTAGGTGACCACCAGTCCAAGACCAACTTGGACTTCTTCCATCTCCATTCACCTTTAATGACATGTTCCGCCTCCTTTCTAGATGGGAGCTCAAATAGGAATAGGGAATCGTTCATAACATAAATATTGATTCCATGAGAGGAGTTCCAAACATTGCACACC